ACCAAATAGACCTATAGAAAAGTTGAGTCTCGGCTGGCAATTTGTTTTGTTAACCAAGGACTGGATTTCAGGTGCACATGGATCGGACATGGGCACAGCACATGGGCCTGGTTTAGATTGGAGTTAGGAATTAGTATTTGGCACTGTAGTATTTTTGTTTGTATTTGACAATTATTGTTCAATCATAGTCTAACTAGGCTCAAAAGATTCGTCTCGTAATTTACAATCAAACTATGTAATTAGTTATTTTTTTATCTACATTTAATACTTCATGTATGTGTCCAAAATTTGATGTGATAAAGAGAGAGTAAAAAAACTTGTAATCTAAACAACACCATGAGAGGGAGCCAGCGAGACCCCAGAAAACTGATGGATTGGACGGGAGCAGGAGCAGGATGGTGCCCACGGCCACGGCTACGCGATCGAGTCGAGCCCATCATCAGTGTCCGTGACCACATTTCACCAGTAGTATTTGGTTGGACGATTTAAAATTTAGCCCCACAACAACACAACAGAAGAAAAAAGGTGCTACTACGAGTGTAGGTGTTACTACATTGTATATACTGTAGTACGTAGTACAACTACCGGTAACAATGACACGAGCAGTACAAGGTAGCTCAGCCTCAAATCCACTCATCCCTGCTGCTGCTCTTGATCGAGCCAATTAAGCTTTTATCGGCAATAATATAGGCCAAGTTCTTCCCTTGTAAAAAAATATATTAATTTGGTACATTATCTTCGATCTAGTTCCATTATCCATGCATCCATATGACTTGTACGCCCATTATTCATGCTAGCGTTTTATCTTAATAAGTAGGGTAGAAATTACCAGGCCGGGGCGTCGGCGAGAGCGCTGCCAAGCTCTTGGCCTCCTCCTCTCCTCCTCCTCTCTTTCTCCTCCTCCTCCTCCGGCGGCGTGGGCGTGGGCGGGGGTGGCGGCGGCGCTGGCGGGCACGGGCGCCGGCGGGCGCTGGCGCGGTCTGCCTGCGTGCGTGTGTGTGTGTGTGCGGTGTGTGTGGGCCGGCTGGGCCGGCGGGGTTAAATCCCCCCTTTACCGAGTACCCCCGATCTGGTACTCAGCAAAGAGAGGGTTTTTTATTTTTTTAAATACTTTGCCGAGTGCCATACGTCCTGGTACTCGGCAAAGCGCTGATTTGCCGAGTGCCATTTTTTGACACTCGGCAAACCATATTTTTTTTCATTTTTGACCTCCAAACTTTTTCTACAGTCCTCATACAATATCTGGTACTCCATGTTCCAATGTGGCATATTTCTTGGACTTTTTCTATATTTCTTTAATCTATTTCATTTAATTGAATTTTCTTGGATAATTCAAATTATAACTGCTAGTCATTCGAACAATGAAAAAATGAATGGAAAAATGATATTCATATTATTTAGTATAATGTGAGGCTGTATCCAGAACAGACCACCAATTTCGAACATCTTGTTCACGAAATATTACCATGAACTTGTGGTCGGGTTGTTTTTAAATTCTATAAAAAGCAAACAAAGACAGAAAATCTTGAAACTTGTTGAGATGTCATGATATCATATGTTGAGGCTATGAAAAAAATTTGAGAAGGTTTCGCGCAAGTTGTCACGTACGATGCTTACCACCTCATCGGCCTCTTCACGAAATCATGAAACTTCTTTGGAGATTCTTCGGTTTGCAAGCATCGTACGTGACAACTTGCGCGAAATCTTCTCAAATTTTTATCACAGCCTCCACATATGATATCATGACATCTTGACAAGTTTCATGATTTTCGGACTTCGTTTGCTTTTTATAGAATTTAAAAACAACTCGACCGCAAATTCGTGATCATGTTTCGTGAATAAGATGTTCGAAATTGATGGTCTGGTCCTGGATACGGCCTCACATTATACTAAATAACATGAATATCATTTTTTCATTCTTTTTTTTATTATTCGAATGACTAGCAGTTATAATTTGAATTATCCAAGAAAATCCAATTAAATGAAATAAATTAAATAAATATAGAAAAAGTCCGAGAAATGTGCCACATTGGAACATGGAGCACCAGGTATTGTATTAGGACTGAAGAAAAAGTTTGGAGATCAAAAGTGAAAAAAAATATGGTTTGCCGAGTGTCAAAAAAATGACACTCGGCAAATAACCGCTTTGCCGAGTGTCAAAAAATGACACTCGGCAAATCACCTCTTTGCCGAGTGTCAGGAGAAGACACTCGACAAAGGGTTAACGGCGGCGGCCCTTTGCCAAGTGTCAGGAGAATAACACTCGGCAAAGCCAGTTTTGCCTGCCGAGTGTCAGTTGTTTGCCGAGTGCTTTCTCTCTGGCACTCGGTAAACAGCCTCTTTACCGAGTGCCCGATAAAAAGCACTCGGCAAAGTCTAGGATACTCGGCAAAGAAGCCGTCTCTGGTAGTGTTTGAAGCAACGGGAGAACGGCGCCGCATCAATTGCCACGTTGTGTATGAGGAGCCACGAGCACCTGGGGACGAGGTGAAACCGTGGTCCCTAGCTTAAACAACACCAACTCTTGGAATTGTTTTCTCAGATGACGCCGATATTCGGACGGAGGGAGTATAAGGTTTGATTCTACAATTGCGTGAGCGCAAAAAAACACTGAAAATGGAGCAATGATTCAAAAGATAAAACTATCAGAAAGCTTATTTTGGAAACATAATTTTACTACCTAAGGGTAGTGATGCAAAATAGATTCAGCAATATAGACCAATCTGTTGTTTGTTGAATGTTAGTTTCAAAGCTTTTACGAAAGTGGCCACTAATAGGATTGTCTTAGTAGCCCAAAAAGTTATTCGTCCTTCACAAACTTCTTTTATGCTAGGGAGAAATATAATGAATGGTGCAATTATTTTACATGAAACTATTCATGAGCTTCAGAGGAAAAGATGAATGGGATGATTTTTAAGATTGATTTTGAAAAGGCATATGATGAGGTAAACCGGTGATTCTTACAACAAACTCTTCGAATGAAAGGTTTTTCCTCAAATTTGGTGTAACTGGATCCAAACCTCCGTCCAAGACCCCTAGGGTTGAACCCTAGGCTCGCAATGTCACCCTTATCACAGACATTCTTCTAGTATTTATAAAAAACCATTGCCATCTTGCCATTCCAACCATGGAGGCCAACCCAAGACATTACTTTCGCAAGAATACATTGTTGGAGGAAGACTAAGGTGGTCAGCGAACATTAGCACCAAAGGACCTATTTGTTGGAAGGCCAGTCGAGGATAGGGGTCGATCCAATGATCAAGACCAACCGTCGTGGGTGTACCTCAGTTACACAGCTCGGAATGCCTCAAGCCACGTGCGAGCGAGGCGCCCTTGAGACCACCTCTCGAAGCGGCGACCCCTCAGGCCTAAACTCGTGCGCACGTCTACAACCCAACAACCCGCCATAATGGTGTGAGATGACCACGTTATTCCATCCCATCGTCGCTAGTGCCCCCTCAAGGCATCCAGGCCACGCGCAGCTGGGATTAACTTGAAGACGATGATGGCCAAGCACCCTTCAGCCTGTTCGGGAGGCCATATCGTATCGTGGATTATTTACTGCTGGCTGGTTTGGTGTGAGAGAAAAACACTGTTCCCGGCTGGAAATTTACGATCGTTTACGAGCAAGCGAACAGGCTGCTTGAGGCCAGATGCGTCAAACCTAACACCTCGAGCCCAATGCCACCACTGATGAGGCGATATCACGTGAAATTCCTTCACACTTCCAAGGGCTGCACGAGAGAAATCTTTGTTTAAAACCTTTGCTTGACTCTCTAAGTGAAGCTAAGGCTTGGTGGACAAACCCACTAGGTTCGGTCACGTAAACCCAGAAAATCAGGGTCATCGCTACTAGGACCGCTCGAACATATATATGAGCCCACGAATATGACCTACGACCCATAGAGATATTCAGACAATCGGTTGGTTTTCGACCAAGATGCCAAAGTGCCCAGGACTAGAGGGCTACTCACGAGGATACGTACCCGAGGCCAAGTATCCTCACCAAGGAGTTTAGTGTGAGGCCACTAAATGTTCCGACTAAATCTCTAGGCCAACTATCTAAGTCTCATCCACCGAGGACGTACTCGAACTCAGGGGCTCCTTGAGCGGTGATCCGAATCTCTTCCTCTGAAGACGTCACTCGGACTTGGGGCCTCCCTGTCCCTGATGCATGTGAGAACTTGGGAAGACACTTCATAGCGGCTGCTCGTTGGGGTCAAAGCTCAAGGATGCTAAATGATAAGTTTGATATTTTAGAAACTTGCCACATGATATGATTATGGATTGGAATTAGGCTAAAATGACTACCCTTACCGTTAGTTATTCGATAGCTCAGTTAGTTTGGTTTTTCTGGTGGAACCTATTTATTTGGCCAAAGGTCTTAATTCGAAAACGGGCCTAGCATTTTTCTAGATTTATTTAAAGATTTAACGTATTAATCCTTCAATCTATTTATCTGAGCCGAAGGTCTTAACTTAAGGGACCTCGTATTTTCCTAGGTTTATTCGAAGATTTAACGTGTTATTCTTTTTAGTGATAGCTGGTAGGCGATATGGTCTTCGACAATTAGATGCTTACGATGGCTTTATTGGGCTTAGGATCTGCCAGACTAGTATCTTTAAGATGCTTACAGGAGTAGTGTGCGTGTGAGTTCTTAACATTGATTGTGAATGTATGAATGTGACGAGGGTCTATGTCTGAACAGTGTTTAGAAGAAGAAAAAAACACACAGCAACATGAGATGTCAGACACGCAAAGGTATTCGCTCCTATGCGGCTACGCAGCTATGCTGTGAAACGTTGACTGCTGACCCATCGATAACAAACTGCACTGCACACCTGTATATATATGTATATACTAAAATAGCCTAGGCGTAAAAGTTGACCACCGCAAATATTGAATTGAATTGAACACGTCACATCTCTTAGCCGTCGCACCGGCAAATGGACCCGGTCCTGGCTGTGCCCTGCATCTTTAATTTGTGTCTGTAACGTCAAATGCCTGAAGGCGGTGAAGGCAGTACTAGCGTGCTACGTATATACAGAGTACATACATATAGACGCACGACGTCCGTGCCTTCCAGCAACAACTCGGTGACGGCTGCTGTGGTGCTGGTAGCAACAGCAAGTAGCAAACCATGGGAAGTGCTTTCGGCCAACGTCCGCGAGATCTGCCGCGCACAGCGTGCCGACGGCTCTGCAGCCGTGCTCGCCATCGGCACGGCCAACCCGGCCAACTGCGTGCTCCAGGACGAGTTCCCGGACTTCTACTTCCGCGCCACCAAGAGCGACCACCTCACTAGCCTCAAGGAAAAGTTCAAGAGAGTTTGTAAGCATGGAACCTCATCAACCAGCTAGCTTAGCTTTGTTGTTTACCGTAACTTTAGCCGATCAGAGCTGAAACATTATCTAGATCGACATGCACGTACATACGCTTCACTGCCGATGGATGCATGCATGATGTTACCAACTAGCTAGTATGTGATTGTGATTTCTATGTACCCCAGGCCAGAAGCTGGGCGTGCAGAAGCGCTACCTGCACCACACCGAGGAGCTGCTGAGCGCGCACCCGGAGTTCCTCGACGACTCCTCGCCGTCCCTCGACGCGCGGCTGGACATCGTCAAGACCGCCGTGCCGGAGCTCGCCGAGCAGGCCTGCAGGAAGGCCATCGCCGAGTGGGGCCGCCCGGCCGCCGACATCACGCACCTCGTCGTCACCACCAACTCCGGCGCGCACATCCCGGGCGTCGACTTCCGGCTGGTCCCGCTGCTGGGCCTCCGCCCGACCGTGCGCCGCACCATGCTCTACCTCAACGGCTGCTTCGCGGGCGCCGCTGCGCTGCGCCTCGCCAGGGACCAGGCCGAGAACAACCGCGGCGCGCGCGTGCTCGTCGTCTGCGCCGAGGTCACCGTCCTGCTCTTCAACGGGCCCGAGGAGGGGTGCTTCCAGACGCTCGTCAACCAGGGCCTGTTCGGCGACGGCGCGGGGGCCGTCATCGTCGGTGCCGAGCCAGTGGCGGCCCCGGCACCGGCCGAGCGCCCGCTGTTCGAGATCGTGTCCGCCGCGCAGGCCATCGTACCGGAGTCCGAGGGCGTCATCACCATGCACCTCACCAGGGGCGGATACGGCGGCAACATCTCCACCAGGCAGGTCCCCGTACTCATCGGCGACAACATCGAGCGCTGCCTCACGGACGCTTTTGCGCCGCTCGGCATTATTGGCGCCGAATGGAACGACCTGTTCTGGGACGTGCACCCGGGCTCGTCGGCGATCCTGGACCAGGTCGACGCCGTGCTCAAGCTCAAGCCTGAGAAGCTGGCGGCGAGCAGACGTGTCCTGAGCGAGTACGGGAACATGTTCGGCGTCACGGTGATCTTCGTGCTCGACGAGCTGCGCCGCCGGATGGAGAATGGAGAAGAGGAGGGGACGCCAGAGTGGGGGGTCATGGTGGCGTTTGGACCCGGGCTCACCGTTGAGACTATGGTGCTCCACCGATCAGGCACCCCAGCCGAGAAGAAGCTGGCTGAGGCATGAGAAGGTGGACGTGACCAATTTGTGTTGGAAGTTGGAACTTGGATAAGGATTGCATGCATGTTCCTTGGTCAACATTCCGTTTATGCCTGTATGTAATACACTTTTCCTATTGTTCCGTCGACTGAAATGTGGCTGATGTTTCAGTCGACTCGTTGTCCGTTGGATTGTCATCAAGATGTGTGCGACCGATTGGTGGGTCTTTGGCTGTTGTTCGGTCCGATCTTTCTTATTGGGTTCGGGCACCGGTGACGCCACCTGCTAACAAGGAACGGACGGGTGGGAGCCGCACGCACAGACACGAAATGAATCGGCGTTCCTGGAGCTGGTCGGGAGGGAGCGGCTATTCTTCTGGCCATTTCCTCTCTCCGCTGCATTGAGGCACATCGGAGGCTCTCCCTCGCCGATTTGGAGGCTTGCTCGCGTCGGCCATTGGTAGAGCTCAGGAGGTACGTTCGTACGCGGTGTGGTTTGTGACTTCAGTGTGATTTGTTCTAGGTTTTGGTTTTGGCTGCTTGTATGAACCGGAGCCCATGGAGCTGGACCTGGATGCGCCCTTCCCGACGCCGCGGCGGTGGTCCACCCCGCTGGCAGCGATAGAGTTAGCTGGTGGCCTAGATCTGTGGCTGGGCACGGATCTGCGGTGACGGTCATAGCTGGGCGCCGCCAGATCCACTCCCTCTGCAAGCACTGTCGCTAATGGTGTTTTTTTTCTTCATTTCGTGCTTGCTGCAGAAGAAGATGGGGAGGGTGCAGACATTGTCAGGCTGTGGGTGCAGACTCCTTTTTAGGTGCCTAAGCGTTGTTGCAACACGTACTAAATTGATTTTGACATGTACTAAATTTGTGCGGTGATTTCAAGCAGTAGCCAAGGATTTGTAATAGCAAGGGATACTGTGATTTTTTGCCTGTTACTTGCATTACTACGGGCCTGATGTTACACATTGATGTATTGCTAGGTTGTAATTTGGTACTGGTGGCTTCCTGAATCTAACTACTTTGGTTATTCAGCATTATTTGGTTAGAAAGCTTGTGGGATTATACTACTACTTGCTTCTGTTCTTCTAAATCGCATTAATTCACCCCATTTGATTACCGGTATTGTTATAACTTGGGCTCTGCTGTAGTATTGCCTCTTGTCTTGAATCTAGTTAATTTAATTTTTCCAACATTGTTTGGTTATAAAGCTTTTAGGACCACACAAATACTTGTTTCTATTCTTTTAAATGACTCCATTTGTTGTAAGTTGTTAGATCTTTACTAGCAGTTAAACCAGTGATTGTAACTTTAGGATAGTTACTATTCCCAATTTTACAAAATTGGTCCATTACTGCTGGATTTAGTTCTAGAACTCCAATGTGATAAGCTAACTACTGTCTAGGAACCTGTGTCCTCTTTTATTCTGTTTTTTAATAACTCATTTTGATATCTCGAGGCACTAGGCAAATGTTCCAAAACTTCATCTATGATCACTTTTCACTTCTCTAGAAGGGAATGATGGGCATAACAGTTCCTTAGTTGTTCTTTATGAAAGTTAGGATATTATTTGCATATAATCGAATAGTATTGTTTCTGATTAATGGGAGGGCACCAGATTGGAGCATTCTACAGTATGGACTACATGTACTTTGTAGATTGTTTTAATAATACATACATTTTAAAATTGGTTTTTGGTGATTTCACTTGTAGAGTCATTGCCGAGGAGCTACAAGTATCATCTTGAGTTGTTTGCCAATTGATGGCAGGCAACTCTCTTTCCATTTCAGTATCCAGTACTAGTAGTCACTGGACAAACTTTTCAAGTGGCTTTCCATTGTGTTTTCTGTGTAGATGGTAATTTATTGCATAGTAAATTTGGTTTATGCTCTTTCTTTCTTTCTTTCTTTTAAACAAAAAGTTTAATAGTTCTAGTTGTCAGAAATCTTGCTCTCAGTCAGCGTCTTCCCTTTATTAGATTGATATAGGCTTGTGTATGCTGCCAAATGCACTTATTTATCCTGATCTAGTGATCTGCTAGAAATACTACCCCTTTGTCAGATGGTTGCATGTGTTGTGAGCCTCATAACTTACTGCTTGGGCCACATTATCATAGTTACTGCATATGTTATCATGTTTATACGTGTTGCCTAACCATTTTTGTGTGATATATACAGGGCTTATGGCAGTAGCAAAGAAGATAGCCCTCTCTGTGACATGCCAGGTTTTGAAAGCTGTAGGATGAAACTCTATATACATGCATGTTTCATTTTTTGATTGCCTCGTATGATGAAATCATAGCGTTATTAATGGTTGCACTGTTGTGTTTCTTTCCAGTATAGGATCTCTTACTTGGAGATTGTCAAATAAAATCCCAGCTACATTAGTTTATAGGCTTCGCAACCCAACCGAGTAGTAGAATGCTTTCTTTAGCACATGACATGTCTATTGCCTTGTGTCATGGTGCAATAGTGAATTTGTTTACTAAACACTGTAAGTCTAGGATACCATAAGTTTTTTTTTAATTTCTAGTAAAATTTGTTTCCTAGATATCTGATTTGTTTTAGAAAAAAATATTGTATGTGCAACAATAACGAAGACCTCAAAGAAGGATCGCAGTATTATCAATTGTGTAGGCTCTGCCATAGTCATTTCTTGAGAAATTATTCTTAAGTATGTGTTGTACTAGTGGCGCATTGTCAACTATAGGACATCAGATTGGTTTTTACAGAACTGAGCATCGTGTCTGAAAAAATATTCTGTGTTATTGCACTTACAATAAACTGTTGTATCATGAACACTTTTTGAGTTGCAGGCTTGTAACTGTGCATTCATATGCCTTTTGAGTAGCAAGTCATATATGTATATATTTTGGATTCAGAGTTCTGGGGTTTCTCTGTTTATCTCCTTTTGTCTTCCTAAGCAGTTTCAGCGTTTCTTTAACAAAACGACAGGCAATTGAGTGGTGCATTTTACAGATTATATAGGAAATTCAACTTGACATATTTTGTTCTTCTACTAGCAGCGTTCGTAGGATCTTAGATCTAGAAACAGCATGCTGCGCAATCAATTATCAATATGTAGTGACTTTTTTAATTTGAAAAGAGATAAGCTTATTGTTATACGTGTTCTTGTTTTGTTCTTGACAGTTGAGCTGATTGAATTCTTTAGGACGAATTCACTAGAGTATAGACCTACGTCCTCTGACTTCTGGATTCACGGATGCGATGGCCCACACTGCTACATGCATCTCTTGCATTTAGTTTGTGAATTGAGATCAGTAAGCATGACTGAAAAAGTTTTTCTTGCATCAGGTTTGTTGATTGGTCCTGTGGTCCTGCAATCTTCGATGTCGTCTCTGTCCCGTCCTGTCTGTAAGACAAGAAGAGATGACAAGATGTACCTGGTGAAGGATATTAGCAGTGCATCAGGCTGATGGCAGTGACGATTGTGCTCTCGGCACTGGCGGTTGTCTGGCGGTCTTTGGAGCGAGGGGCGGGGTTGCCGCAAAGACAGGTCCCTTGACTTCTCCATCACTAACTTCCTGGCTGCCGTGCTCATTGCCCTCACCTTCGGCCAGATCGGCCTCGACACGCTGGAGACGCCCAATTTCCTCACCCAGCTTACTCAGGTAGCTCACTTTCCATTTCAATTAATACTCGTTCACATTCAGTTTTCTTTCAGTACGTACATCGTTCAGACCTGAAGAAGTGGAGACGTGCATGTCTTAATATTTGAAACTCTAGTTGTTCCGTGATTGTGTCTTTCAAGAAGAACATCGTCATCTTGTGCTAACTAAGCAACTCCACTCCGCAGTTAACATTTTGTGACTTCCAATTCAAATACTAATGATGCAGCTCCTGACACACCATGCCTTGCCACCACTTGAATTGTCTTTGTGCCAACACAGTTAGGATTTTTATCCTTGTGTGACTATAGAAAAAATTGGAACTTGTTAATTGTCTTTGTGCCAACAAGGTTCAGATTTGTTAATTGTTTTAGTGTCGTTAGAGATCATGTCTTTTTGTTACTCTGTACTTGTTTTCTGCGACTACTATTGTTGACTAAGTGATCATGCCTAGGTTCTACAAGCATGCATACTATAAGTTGTTCTTGTCAAATGATGGCAAGTCTTCGTCAATTCTTTAGAACAAACAACCAAGAAGCTTATGATTATTATTGCTTTGGATGGTTGCTAATTCAGTCCTAAGAATCCAAAGTGTCTCAGAGATTTCTATGTTGGTAAGGACATACGCTATGATCCTCATAAGTCTTTTCTCTTCTCTTGCGGCAGGGGACAATTCATGTATATTGTTAGTTAACTTGAAAGTAATGGATATTGCTTATTTTGCACGCGCTCGCAGTTGTACTTATCATTCACATTCGTGTGTGGCTAAGGAACTTCAATATAGAAGATTCATCTTGGTAATGGCAAGCAAATCTTATTTTTGATAAATGAGGTATGAATTTTGAATGTCACATTCCTTCCATCTGTTTGTTGTTGTTCTCCATAGTTCTCTGTTCCCGTTAAACTCTCATGTTCATGAAAAACAAACAAATAAAACACTAAGTTCATTAGTTGCAATTAGGAATAGTGTAGATTGCAAGTATTTAAAAGCTGCAATCAGTAGGTGTCATAATATGCAATATGTGGAATTTTGATTTACCTTATGATTATAATTGGCATTTACATTGTAGATTTTTTTTCAATAATCAAATTGGGTTGTGGGCCAACAAAAAGTAATATTTACTAGAATCATATAAGTTCTATATTATCATCACATAATACTGAAGCTCCTCTCACCAAGCATGTAGCAACACCCATGTATGTTAATTGTACTAAGATGAGGCAAACCTGTTGTGCTATCACTTAATATCCAGGCACCATGCCACTTGAAATAATTATTCATAAACTCGCGATTTCCCTCTCGTGGTTTTTGAATTTTGAGGAGGGTTTGACCAGATTGAGATGCATGGAACCGGTCGCAACTCTGGTCTAGTGGGCATAATTGTTTTGGGGGCGAGGA